ACTGACGTGCCACTTGCAGCCTTGAAGAAGGGTTGTAGAGTGTTGAGCTAACGTCTTCTCCCATCCATCCTTCCTTGAGCACCTGAAAAGGACCTCGTACATTGTGCCCAAAGATCAGCTCAAACAGACTATACCCTGCAGACTCCTGCACAGTTTTCCTTACTGAAAAACAACAACAAAGGTAGTGATTCATCCCAGTCTGTTGGAAAATGCATACAAAAAGTTCTCATCAGGGTTTTTAACGTCTGACGGAATCTTTCAAAGGGCGCCTTGGGACTGAGGATGATAGGCAGTGAATAAGTTGTAAATTATCCCTTGCCTAGTCAAAGTTTCCCTAAAGGCTTTTTCCAATGAAGTTAGTCCCTTTTGATCACTTTGAATAGATTTGGAATGCCAAAGCAAGAGATAAACTTGGTTAAAGCTTAAGAATTGCTTTAGTACTGTATTAATACTGTGCATGGGAATTGCTTTGGGTATCTAGTTACTCTATCCTAACGGTAAATAAGTACTGACCTACACAATCTATAATTAACTCTGAAAAAGGTTCTCCATCAGCAGGTATAGGCGGGAGAGGTGCAGGTTTAATGGAATGTCCAGGTTTCCCTATTTGTTGACATTCTCGGCAACAGCGGATATGATTCTTCACATCCTGCCTTAATTTTGGCCAATAAAATTTCCCTTTTAATATCATATATATCGTTTAGAAATTTTCCTAGGTGTCCTCCAAATGAAGTACATGAGCTATATTTAATATTTGAGGTCTAAACTTCATTGGAACCACTAACCCGTCGCCTGTTGCCTCCCCTCTATCTCCTTACCAGTCTCAGTGCAAATCAAATAGTTGCTTTTAAGTTTCTATTTGACCCAAGTGATCTGGAAAGGATTTACCCATGGCTGCCTGAAAACTGAAATTCAATGAAGGGTCTTTTCGCGTTCCGCTTGGAAGGACAGTCCCTCGGGCATGGAAACAGACACATTTGGCAATCCTGCAACCCTGGAATATGAAGGCTTGATCTGGGTCTTTTCACTAAATTTAAGGGGCCCCTGGTCAGTTTCCTTGTAAAACAAATTGGCTATTCCGAGACCCAGAGTCGCCCAAGGATAGGTTAGCATTCTCATCAGAGATTCCGGGGGTTTTTCCCCCAAAAGTTATGGCCAACATCGGAGAAGAATTAATCATTATTGGTTCTGGAGACTTACTAGAAGTGGTAATGTTATTACCCGTAATAACACTGCGTCTTTCATTGGGAAAAATCCCTCAGATACACCTACAGTCAAATTTCCAGTGTAATATCTGCACTCAAATATTTTTTTATGCAAGGGGACAGAAAAAATTGCTCCTACAAAAGCTTCTAACAGAACAGAGGATTGCAATGAAGTGTGTTCAGAAAGGCGAAGTATTCCCTTTCTTATAAGTGAGCAATTGCTCCAATATCCCTAAAGGTCCTGACTTCATTTTTTCTTTGAGTTTTCCCTGAAGGAATATACGACTCGTACAGTAAAAAGGGGGCCATCCCTTTCTCTACTTCTTTCAAGGTCATGTTACTGGGGACATTATAAATTTTCCCAATTGGTTGGGGTTTATTTGGGCAGTTTGGGCGAATGTGGCCGGTTTTATTACAATAAAAAGCAAACGACAGGCTTTGACCTTTGCTCCCTGGGTGACATTGTGACTGATGCTGCTCTGGGTACTGTTGTCGGGATACACCATGTTGAGTGGTTTGTCGGCTCACCAGGTTTTACCATAAGTTGAGTAGCTTGTCTCACCAGGTGACATAGTTGGCTGACGTAAGCATTCTCCTTCCTGCCGGGACTTCATCCTCCAATGTTGACGATCTCTGCTCATGCCAGGCTGTTGAAAGAGAGATGGGGCTGCTCAGACAAGGAGTAGTTGGTTTCAAAAGTATCAACCAACCTGGCTGCCTCCAGTGCTGTGGTTAAGAATGGTCCTGCAGAAAGACTCTAACGTCTGGTCCCACAGACTCCAGCAGGTTATCACCAAGATAAGTTGAATCAATTCACTGAAGGTTGCGACACCACTTGCTTTATACCCGCTGGTAAAAGCTGTGGGCTTCACCACCCGATAGTTGCTAAATTCAGTGTCATTTAACACTGATGTAAACTCCTGTGCCTTCCAAACGATGCTGTGTGAACCAATGACGCCTAATGCTGTTCAGGGCCCCCCTAAGACTCGAGCTTGGTTTTTGAAAGCTTCGAAAAAACTGTTCTGGCTCGGCTTCATCAAGGAAACTAGGAACAAACTGTACTGCCCCTTGCAAATTAAAGTCCTTTATATTGGCCTCCCCTCCTTCTCTCTATCAAATTCCTCCATAGCAAAAGCACGCTGCTCTTTAGTTTTGTTCAAGATTGATCTGGCTAACTCAAATGCTAATGAAGCAGACTCACCCTGAGACAAATTGACACATCTCTTGCTTCACCAGGCTGCTAGTTTTGCTGAGGTGTCTCTCGACCATTCTGCAGAAACCTAAGTGGAGATTTATTAATAGTTCCTGCAGCTGGGGGCACGTCAATCTGGGGTGCCATGTCTGCTTCTGTCTCTAATTTACTGTGAATAAGATTTTGAAGTTGCGCCGCAGTTCGAGTTCTTTGATAATCAATGCCATAGATCGAGCAATATGCCAACAAGGGTGTTAGAGAACTTTGGCAGGTTTAGTAGAGTAAACTCAGTCACTAATCGTCGACTCTTAAAGGTGGCATTTAATCCAACCCGCTACTTCAAAACACTCAAGTAGCTATGCACAATACACTGCAAAATTCATATAGCAAGGCTGACACGAATGCAGAGTACGCCATTTCAAGAGCAATAGCAAAACCAACTGCAAAATATTCACACAACAGGGAAGATTGACCATAGCGAAGCAATTGACACGCCCAAAATAGTAAGCTGTCACCGATCACACAATAGCAGGCCGACCATAAAGAAAGAAAAATGCAAACTGACACACAAAGTTTTGTAAAGCGTTGGCAAAGCTGATGCAATGCCAGACAGCAAGCTATTTGATGTTCCTGCTTCAGCTTCAACTCTAGGGGTCAACTCCTGCTCTAAGTCCAGCTCCAGCTCTCAGACAGGCTACCCATTTACAACCCAGGAACAATAAGGCCTGTTATCCTGGGTGTAAAGGGGAGCAAGGGCAGAACAAACACAGCTGAATGGCTTTGAATTAATTTTCCTTCAAGTGCGATTCTAAGTATTTACTAGTACGTACACTATATACATTTGGAAATAAATGTGTTCAACACGGTAAAGCAAAAGGCAAAGACACAGCCTGGAGACAGAATGGACAACCGTTTCAACCAGCAGCTGGGTGAAAATGACAAGGGTGAGATTGGGGTGGTATCCATGTCACCTTCACAATTGCCAGTTCCACAATTTTGATTGGCTGAACCTAGGTGCTGATTTGGACGATGGGGCCCCGTATATCGTCAACCCTTAGCGACCTGGTTTGCTGGTTGGGAAGGGAGCCTTTTTATGATGTGTTCACATGCTCCGAATACGGGTACATACTCTTTGCATGCAACACTTACCTACCAGATCCCTCTTAAATGCTTCTACTTTAGCATATAGGTCCCCTAACCACAAATTTACTTTCACTTGGCTCATAAATTCCTACACACTCGCTTAACATCTCCCAAAATCTCTCTCTCCTCTACACTCCTCTCTTCTCCAGGTGCATACGCACTTATTATGACCCACTTTTTGCATCCAAACCCCCATTTTAATCCACATAATCCTTGAATTTATACATTTATATTCCCTCTTTTCTCTCCCTATCTGATCCTTCAACATTATTGCTTCCCCTTCCTTAGCCCTAACTCTTTCAGATACTCCTGCCTTAATCCCATTTATTTCTCCCTACTGAAACTCCCCTACCCCCTTCAGCTTTGTTTCACTTAGGGCTAGGACATCAAACGTCTTTTCATTTGTAACATTAGCAATCATCTCTTTCTTATCATCTGCACTACATCAACATACATTCAAACATCCCAATTTTATAAAGTTTTTCTTATCCTTATTTTTAGTAATTTATACAGAAGAGGTTACTAGCCCATTGCTCCCAGCCTTTAGTCGCCTCTTACGACATGCATAGCTTACGGAGGAAGAATTCTGTTCCACTACCCCATGGAGATAAGCAGAAATAAACAAGAACAAGTGCTAGAAAGAAAATAGAAGAAAACCCAGAGGGGTTAGTATATATATGCTTGTATATGCATGTGTAGTGTGACCTAAGTGTAAGTAGTAGTAGCAAGACGTGCCTGCAACCCTGCATGTTTATGAGACAGAGAGAGACCAGCAATCCTACCATCATGAAAAACAATTACAGGCTTGTTTCACACTCATTTGGTAGGATGGTAGTACCTCCCTGGGTGGTTGCTGTCTACCAACCTACTACCTACAGTAATTTACTGTATATTATAATAAACAGACTAGAGGAAATCAGTTCTTAATACTATATATTTAGGTATGCAAACTGATCAGAGAGCCTGTCATAAGCCTGAGTCATTGGTAAACAAGTACGTCGCTGAGTGAGGAGAGGCTGTAATAATTACCATAGCTGGCTGTTGCCATACTGGAAATAAAACCAGTACAGCAAAACATGATAGGACTGATTAAAATAGATATATCATAAATTCTTTGACCAATTTAGAGAGCTTATCTTCTAAATATTTGCCACAGTATTTTCAAGCAGTAGTCCTCTTTCTTTCAACGCACCAGCCGTATCCCATTGAGGTGGGGTGGAACAAAAGGAAAAAACGAGATTTACTCCTTTTAAATTTAGTAATATATACAGGAGAAGGGGTTACTAGCCCCTTGGTCCCAACATTTTAGTCACCTTTTACGACACGCATGGCTTACGTAGGAAGAATTCTGTTCCACTTCCCCATGGAGAATCAAGCAATAGTTATCTACAGTTAATAAAAGTATGAATTTCTGAAGCAAGCAAATGAACATATTTATAAAGCTGCATTATCCATTTCAGGCCTTGGTGAGCAGGTTTTCTACAAAGGTTTCCAGACCGAAGAAAGTGGAAAGACCGGCTCCTAAGTTGGAGGCAATAAAAGCTGTGTTAAGCAGGAAAGAAGAATTAAAACTAAAGGAGAATGAAGAGGCAAGGAGAAAAAAGGAAGTAAGTTCCTACAGAATATTGAGCTGACTATAAATTGATTCATGTTTATTTTGAGTAACCCTTTGACTGTTGCGGTCGTATATATATATCTTACAAGCCAATGTGTTTGATGTATATATACTCAAAAATTCTAGCGACTTCAAATAAAGCAGGAGAAAGCTGGTAGGCCCACATGTGAGAGAATGGTTCTGTGTGGTCAGTGTGCACTGTATAAAAAAAATCCTGCAGCACGCAGTGCACAATGAGAAAAAAAAACTCTAACTGTATTTTTGGATTAAAACACTGACTTTGAGGTGTATTTTCATATAGTTTTTATGGTTATATTCTCGTTTTTGTAGTCACATTTGATAGAATGAAAAACATACGTGTATTATAGAAATAGAGGTGATTTTGATTGGTTTTACTATGAAAAGGACATTGAAATGAAGCTCAAAGTAGGGGAAATGTTTGATTTTTGCTGATGTTCAAGGTAAGCAAATGAAGTCATTGTCCAATAAATGTCCAACTAGCCATTCTGATACGCAGTCATGAATGGGTTGATATTATTTATACAATTATTACAATATTGCAGTAGTCTGCATAACAGTAAATCTTCTATTTTTTTGTTTGAATAAAAATTCAAAATAGAAAGCAAGAGTAATATCAGAGGGGCCTGGAGATGTGACTGATGAACAAAGAAAATGTTATTTTAGAGCCAGGAATGTGTGCATTGTTCATTCTGTACCTACTTTAAAATTGACAAATTTTTTAATTTGTGTGAAATTAGCCAAATTGCCAATTTCTGACCACTTTATTGGGTAGTTGGAAACGATAAATGGGCAGTTTCTTGTACTCAATCGATAGAACAAATGGAGTTCTAAAGAAATAGCTATGAGTTTGGTCAACTGGAACAATGGAATTAGCTGAAAATAGGGCTCAAAGTAGGCGAAATCGCCGATTCATAAATATCGCCGAGGTCACCAACTTCGCAAGAGTGTAATTCCATAAGTTTTCCATCAAAATTTGTACTTTTGGTGTCGTTACCATGGGGAAAAGATTCTCTATCATTTCATAAGATTTTTTTTTTGTTTTTGTTTTTTCAAATATTTTGTGACACCACGAGACACCTCAGGATTTGGGGTTGCGACAGTCAAAAGGTTAAAATCATTACAGTTTTTTTTTTTTTTTTTACAGTAGTTGCACTTCTTATTTCTATAGTTTTGTATTTCGTATATGGTTTTAAGTATGAAATGGGCATCATGGATGTGAATATTTTTGGAGAAGCAACAAATTTGTCTCATAACTTATTGTAACTAGAGTAAAGTAGACAAGGAGAATGGAATCGGTGGATACAAGAAGTGAAAGTGGATGAATTAAATGAAATGGGGGGAAAGATATAAGTAACTATTGAAAAAAAGGTGGACGAGAGAGAGTACGGGTAATGAGGAGGTCAGAGAGGTATGGGGGTAGATTTAAGAATGCAGTGGTAGTGTGTGTGGCAGAAGGTTGTGGGTATAGGAGTGTGGGTGCAAGTGAGAAGAGGAATGATTGTAGAATGGTGAGGTAAAGAAGGTAGTAAGAGAGAAAAAGTTACCATACAAGAGGTTTTTACAATGTATAAATGATGTACAAAAGGGAAAGTATGTGGAGAGAAAAATGAAAGTTGGAAAAAGTAGGGAATGCAAAAGATAAGCCAATGAGATAATGGTAGTTTTATTTCCAAATTTTGCTAAGGCTTAATCTTTTGACTGTCGGTGTCATATGCATGCATCTTAGAAGCCAGTGTTTTTGACGTATTAATATGCCAAAATTCTAGCGGCTTCAAATCAAGCGGGAAAAGCTGGTAGGCCCACGTGAGAGAATGGGTCTGTGTGGTCAGTGTGTCCAGTATGAAAAAAATCCTGCAGCACACAGTGCATGATGGAAAAAAAAACTCCGACCATGTTTTTTGGATTAAAACTCCGAATTTGAGGCGTATTTTCTTATAATATTTATGGTTGTATTCTCATTTTCTTGGTTTCATTAGATAGAATGAAAGATATATTACAGAAATAGAGATGATTTTGATTGGTTTCACGATGAAAAGGACCTTGAAATTGAGCTCAAAGTAGTGGAAATGTTCGATTTTTGCCGATGTTCAAGATTAAAGAAATGACATCATCGTCCAGTACTCGTCCAACTGGCCTGTCTGATATTCAGTCATGAATGGGTTGACATTATTTATACAATTATTACAATAATGCAGTAGTCTGCATAACAGTAAATCTATTTTTTGTGTGAATAATAGTTCAAAATAGAAAGCAAGAGTAATATAAGAGGAGCCTAGAGACGTGACTAATGAACAGAAATTTTTTTATTTTAGTGCCAGGAATGTCTGCATGTTTATTTTGGACCCTATTTTGAAATTGTCATTTTTTTAATTTGCAAGAAATTGGCCAAGTTGCCAATTTCTGACCACTTTATTGGGTAGTTATGATTGGTAAATGGGCAGTTTCTTGTACTCAATCGATAAAACAAATGGAGTTCTAAAGAAATAGCTATGAGTTTGGTCGACTGGAGCAATGGAATTGGCCGAAAATAGGGCTCAAAGTGGGTGAAATTGCTGATGCGTATATATCACCAAGATTGCTAACTTCACGAGAGTGTAATTCCATGAGTTTTCCATCAAATTATGTACTTTTGGTGTCACTACCATTGGGAAAAGATTCTCCATCATTTCAAAAGAAAAAATAATTTTTTTTTTTCGAATATTTTGTGTCACAGACACATTTCAGAATTTGGGATCTCAACAGTCAAAGGGTTAAAAACAATTTTAGAGGAAGATTAAAGAACTTGAGAAATCCTGGGAACCAAATAGACTTGGCCATTAAAAACAGATGCTAGATGGGAAGATGGATGTATTAGAAAGATAGTGCCTCAAAATATTCTTTCTATTAAATGTTTATGAAAGGATGGCAGTGATTTCATGAATTGGGCAGGGAGGAGTAACATCTTGTTGTATTTTTTTTTATTAAAAAAAAAAAAAAAAAAAAAAAATTATTGGTGCAATTATTTAATAAATGTATGGAAGAGGGTAAGGTACCTAGGGATTGGCAGAGAGCATGCATAGTTCCTTTGTATAAAGGCAAAGGGGATAAAAGAGAGTGCAAAAATTATAGGGGGATAAGTCTGTTGAGTGTACCTGGTAAAGTGTATGGTAGAGTTATAATTGAAAGAATTAAGAGTAAGACGGAGAATAGGATAGCAGATGAACAAGGAGGCTTTAGGAAAGGTAGGGGGTGTGTGGACCAGGTGTTTACAGTGAAACATATAAGTGAACAGTATTTAGATAAGGCTAAAGAGGTCTTTGTGGCATTTATGGATTTGGAAAAGGCGTATGACAGGTGGATAGGGGGTTCTCATAATGCAATGTGGCAGATGTTGCAAGTGTATGGTGTAGGAGGTAGGTTACTGAAAGCAGTGAAGAGTTTTTATGAGGATAGTGAGGCTCAAGTTAGAGTATGTAGGAAAGAGGGAAATTTTTTCCCAGTAAAAGTAGGCCTTAGACAAGGATGTGTGATGTCACCGTGGTTGTTTAATATATTTATGATGGGGTTGTAAGAGAAGTAAATGCGAGGGTCTTGGCAAGAGGCGTGGAGTTAAAAGATAAAGAATCACACACAAAGTGGGAGTTGTCACAGCTGCTCTTTGCTGATGACACTGTGCTCTTGGGAGATTCTGAAGAGAAGTTGCAGAGATTGGTGGATGAATTTGGTAGGGTGTGCAAAAGAAGAAAATTAAAGGTGAATACAGGAAAGAGTAAGGTTATGAGGATAACAAAAAGATTAGGTGATGAAAGATTGAATATCAGATTGGAGGGAAGAGAGTATGGAGGAGGTGAATGTATTCAGATATTTGGGAGTGGACGTGTCAGCGGATGGGTCTATGAAAGATGAGGTGAATCATAGAATTGATGAGGGAAAAAGAGTGAGTGGTGCACTTAGGAGTCTGTGGAGACAAAGAACTTTGTCCTTGGAGGCAAAGAGGGGAATGTATGAGAGTATAGTTTTACCAACTCTCTTATATGGGTGTGAAGCGTGGGTGATGAATGTTGCAGCGAGGAGAAGGCTGGAGGCAGTGGAGATGTCATGTCTGAGGGCAATGTGTGGTGTGAATATAATGCAGAGAATTCGTAGTTTGGAAGTTAGGAGGAGGTGCGGGATTACCAAAACTGTTGTCCAGAGGGCTGAGGAAGGGTTGTTGAGGTGGTTCGGACATGTAGAGAGAATGGAGCGAAACAGAATGACTTCAAGAGTGTATCAGTCTGTAGTGGAAGGAAGGCGGGGTAGGGGTCGGCCTAGGAAGGGTTGGAGGGAGGGGGTAAAGGAGGTTTTGTGTGCGAGGGGCTTGGACTTCCAGCAGGCATGCGTGAGCGTGTTTGATAGGAGTGGATGGAGACAAATGGTTTTTAATACTTGACGTGCTGTTGGAGTGTGAGCAAAGTAACATTTATGAAGGGATTCAGGGAAACCGGCAGGCCGGACTTGAGTCCTGGAGATGGGAAGTACAGTGCCTGCACTCTGAAGGAGGGGTGTTAATGTTGCAGTTTAAAAACTGTAGTGTAAAGCACCCTTCTGGCAAGACAGTGATGGAGTGAATGATGGTGAAAGTTTTTCTTTTTCGGGCCACCCTGTCTTGGTGGGAATCGGCCAGTGTGATAATAAAAAAAATAGTAAGTTCACTGAGAGATATTTAAATAAGTGTAAAGGGTTCAAGGCTTTACAGTACTGGCCTCATCAAATATAACGGCCATTACCTAATTGAATTCTTGAGGTGAATTTGATTACTTCCTGTAGATTATAGCTTATCAACCAGGTTGTAGTATGTGCTTTAGGACTTTGACAAAAATACAAACATCACATCTTTACTGGCCAGGCTGTCACTCAGGAGGCCTGGGCTGCAGAGAACAGTTACCAGGTAGAGATCCTGAGAATAGGAATGATGCAAGGATGAATTTTAATCTTTGTTCCAAAAAATGCAACATACTGTTCAATACAGTACTGCATTTTTATTTAAGCCTCTCTCCTGTTATCTCAGAATTTGCTGGCTCTGAGAGCACAAGACAGGAAATCCAATCAGCGTGTCAAAGCCATGATCAACAGAAACAAAGGAGCTTCCAAGTCTGTTCTAGAAGATGCTAAGGTAAGTTTTTTTTTTTTTTATACGTAACCATTTTCCCTCAATGTTGAAGGACTGATCACCTTGTATTTGTATACCTCTCCACTGTTTGGAAACTAGTTGTCATTCACCAAAATTGTTCCCTAATGTATCATATCCTGATAAGTTAAATTAGTCTGTAAATTTCTGCATTGCTAAGTAAAGAACTACAGTAAAATATATTGTATATGATTTTGTTGCATTTTACCAATTGTACCATAAGTAAATAATAAAATTAAATGAAAGTACAGGCAAACCCCATTCATACGGCTCCTAAGGTTCACAACCCCAAGTGATAAGCAAAAATTGCTGATAGGTGAAAAATAACAGTTTTTTCATTATCAAAAATGCCTGATAATGTGTTTACACTTTCGTGTACATTATTATTATTATTATAATTATAATCAAGGGGGAAGCGCTAAACCCGGAGGATTATACAGCGCCTGGGGGGGGATGTGGAAGGCATTCAGGCTTAATTCGGGGAACTGGAGCACAGATCCAATTCCCTAAATCAAGAGCCCCTCACCAACATCGAGGGGTACACTTTCGTGTACAGTGGAACCTTTGTGTTCAAATGTACCCAACCTCAAACAAACAAGAGTCAGAACATTTGTGTTCAGAAAAGAGTGACCTGGTCTTTGAATGGTTTTTGTAGTCTGAAAGTGCCAACTTGTTTAAGATTCATTTGTAAAAAAACTTTAAATGAAAGCCCTGTTTAAAAAAGGCTTTGAAGTGACCTCTGACACTGACCTAACTCGGAGACTTTTGGAAGAGTCAGTTCAACATCCTCCTGTGTGTGAGGATGATAATTAAAGCCTAGGAAATATTGTTTCGGACATTCAGCTTTTCGCAGTTCAAACACCACCTAGGAACTAAGTAAATTCAAACATCAAGGTTCCACTGTATTAAATGTTCAATACAGCTAGGCATTAACCCTTTCAGGGTTTCAGCCGTACTAGTACGACTTAGGCACCAGGGTTTTTGACATACTAGTACGCCTAAATTCTAGCACCCTCAAATCTAGTGAAAGAAAGCTGGTAGGCCTACATACGAAAGAATGGGTCTGTGTGGTCAGTGTGCGCAGTATAAAAAAAAAAAAAAAAAAAATCTGCAGCACACAGTGCATAATGAGAAAAAAAAAAAATTGACCGTGTTTTTGGATTAAAACAGCGACTTTGCACTGTATTTTCGTATGGTATTTATTGTTGCATTCTAGTTTTCCTGGTCTCATTTTATAGAATGGAAGACATATTACAGAAATTGAGATGATTTTGACTGGTTTTACAATGAAAAGTACCTTGAAATTGAGCTCAAATTAGCAGAAATGTTCAATTTTTACCAAAGTTCAAAAGTAAACAAATCATGCTAAGCGTCCAATACATGTCAACTGGCGAGTCTAATATTCTTTCACAAGTGTGCTGATATTATTTATACCATTTCTACACTAATGCAGTAGTCTGCATAACAGTAAATCTTCTATTTTTTGTGAGAATAAAAATTCAAAGTGGAAAGCAAAAGAATGTAAGAGGGGCATGGGGACGTGACTAATGAACAGAGGAAATGTTATTTTAGTGCCAGGAATGTCTTTCTTGCTTATTCTGGACCCTATTCAGAAATTGACATCTTTTAAAATTTGTGTGAAATTGGCAAAATTGCTAAGTTCTGACCACTGTATTGGATAGTTGAAATCGGTAAATGGGTGGTTTCTTGTACTCATTCGATAGAAAAAAAATAGAGTTCTAGCGAAATAGTTATGATTTTTGTCGACTAGTACACTGGAATTAGCCGAAAATAGGGCTCAAATTGGGCAAAATCACCGATGCGTAAACATCGTTGAGACCGCTAACTTCATGAGAGCATAATTCTGTAAGTTTTCCCATCAAATTTCATACTTTTGGTGTCATTATGATCGGGAAAAGATTCTCTATCTTTTCGTAAAGATTTTTTTTTTTTTTTTTTTTAAATTTGGCCGACCCTGAGAACAAGTCTCGGAGAGGGCCTGGCGACCCTGAAAGGGTTAAAAGAAAGTTAAACTAAAATAAATACACAGTACGTAAAATACTTAATCTAAAATATGCCGTTCATCCTTCCATTACACAACTGTTGATGAAAAATGGTGGTAACAGCAGAAAAATGCTAAAAACACCGAATGTAATGAACAATGGCTCAGTTGAAAGCCAACGAAAATATGGAACATTGAAAAGTGGGAGCTGTATATAAGGGGCCCTCCTGTACCTGTACATCAGATGTGTTATGAAATGCTGCCCAAGTTAAGTGATTACACAATAAACTTCATTAAGCTGTTGTTAAAAGGTCTGCATAGTGAAGTTTTTGTCGTGGCTTATTTTTCAAAGTCACTTCAGTATATATATGGTACTTTCAGGTATACCAAAAAGAATATCAGATATATAAAATACAAGGAGTGGTCCCTGTGTTAAGTCAGTTTTCACTGACGAGCAAAGTCCAAAGGCTATAATGTTGACAAATAATAGTTTCTCGAATGCCAATATGCAGCTTATGAATGTGTGATACATGACAATCCTTTGTATTATTGTATCATTTTTCTGTAGGTTAGCAGATTGAGGATTACAAACTACAGTACTTCTTGATGAGTTGAATCATAGGAAACACACACTCGTTGATGAGTTGGGGATCCGCACTATACATATATCACCTAGTATAGTATGGTATTTCTATTAATGCATTATTAAGAAATGTAACAATTATGTGTTTATTTTCTGCAGGACATTACTACTGCCAAAGGGGAGGAGCAGTGTGATGAGGATGATTATGGTTACGAATCAGCCATGAGTCAACGCATTTTCAGTCAGCTGGCTAATCAGTATGCTAGCATGCCTGAGGATGATAAGCTGAAATTTGTTAAATCCTCTGCCAAAAGCAGTATAGCAGACATCAAGGTGAGTTGTAGTGACCATATACAGGAACATGGGAGATTGATAAAAACACTGTAGAAGAACTATAAACATGTAGTGCCACCAGCAGTTTGTTTGTGAAGGTAAATGCTAGGAAAGTAAAATCCTTGATCTTGCCTAATTTAGTCAGGGGGTAGCTGTCGAGCATTTGCAAGTCTTTTGTAAATAGTGTCTTCTAAGTTAATGCTTTGTCTGAGGCCTTTAGTACAGTGAAACTCCAGTTTTCATACTTAATCCATTCCAGAAGGTCATTCTAAATCTGAAACGTACGAAAACTGAAGCAGTATTTCCCATACAAAAAAACAAAATGAGAAATAGATATAAAGCACTAATGAAATGGATAAATGAACATTCAAATCACTATTACATACATTTATTGAAGACTCGTGTTGGGAGGAGATTGTTTGGAGACAGGACAAAACACTTAAATATGATGCGCTAATATCAACTATAAAGTTTTTCTTCTTCTCTTTTTTAGTAAATGTCTACAGGAGAAAGGGTTACTAGCCCATTGCTCCCGGCATTTTAGTCGCCTCATATGACACGCATGGCTTACAGAGGAAAGATTCTTTTCCACTTCCCCATGGACAATAGAAGAAATAAATTAGAACAAGAGCTATTTAGAAAAAGGAGAAAAACCTAGATGTATGTATATATATATGCATATGCGTGTCTGTGAAGTGTGACCAAAGTGTAAGTAGGAGTAGCAAGATATCCCTGTTATCTAGCGTGTTTATGAGACAAAAAGAAACCAGCAATCCTACCATCATGCAAAACAGTTACAGGTTTCTGTTTCACAGTCATCTGGCAAGACGGTAGTACTTCCCTGGGTGGTTGCTGTCTACCAACCTACTACCTACTTGAGTCCTGGAGATGGGAAGTACAGTGCCTGCACTCTGAAGGAGGGGTGTTAATGTTGCAGTTTAAAAACTGTAGTGTAAAGCACCCTTCTGGCAAGACAGTGATGGAGTGAATGATGGTGAAAGTTTTTCTTTTTCGGGCCACCGGGCCTTGGTGGGAATCGGCCAGTGTGATAATAAAAAAAAAATAAAAAAATATCAACTATATGGCTTATTTATCTGTTACAATTCATCTAATATGACATAATAAACAATATTAATAGCATAGATACATGATATATACTCTAGAAAGAATAAAATATGTCATTACATTTGTGAGGAGTGGTGGTGGTAGTGGTGTTGGGTTTATAAGGGCCACTGACAGCATAAGCTGTACATATAGTGGTGTTGGTGGCAGCAACAGAGGCCACCACCACTATTCACACTGAAACAATATACGTAATTTTTATTATTTTTCATTAACGCATCTGCCGATTCCCACCAAGGCAGGGTGGCCCGAAAAAGAAAAACTTTCATCATCATTCACTCCATCACTGTCTTGCCAGAGAGGTGCTTTACACTACAGTTTATAAAACTGCAACATTAACACTCCTCCTTCAGAGTGCAGACACTACTTCCCATCTCCAGGACTCGAGTCCGGCCTGCCGGTTTCCTTGAATCCCTTCATAAATGTTACTTTGCTCACACTCCAACAGCACATCAAGTATTAAAAATCATTTGTCTCCATTCACTCTTATCAAATACGCTCACGCATGCATGCTGGAAGCCCAAGCCCCTTGCACACACAACTTCCTTTACCCCCTCCCTCCAACCTATCCTAGGCTGACCCCTACCCCGCCTTCCAGCCACTACAGATTTATACACTCTAGAAGTCATTCTGTTTCGTTCCATTCTCTCTTCATGTCCGAACCACCTCAACAACCCTTCCTCAGCCCTCTGGACAACAGTTTTGGCAATCCTGCACCTCCTCCTAACTTCCAAACTACGAATTCTCTGCATTATATTCACACCACACATTGCCCTCAGACATGACATCTCCACTGCCTCCAGCCTTCTCCTCACTGCAACATTCATCACCCATGCTTCACACCCATATAAGAGCATTGGTAAAACTATACTCTCATACATTCCCCTCTTTGCTCCAAGGACAAAGTTCTTTGTTTCCACAGACTCCTAAGTGCACTACTCACCCTTTTCCCCTTATCAGTTCTATAATTCATCTCATCTTTCATACACCTATCTGCTGACACTTTCACTCCCAAATATCTGAATACATTCTCCTCCATACTCTCTCCCTCCAATCTGATATCCAGTCTTTCGTCTCCTCATCTTTTAGTTAACCTTATAACCTTACTCTTTCTTATATTCACTTTTAATTTTCTTCTTGTACATACCCTATCAGATTCATCCACCAACCTCTACAACTTCTCTTCAGAATCTCCCAAGAGCACAGTGTCATCATCAAAAAGCAACTGTGACAACTCCCACTTTGTGTTTGATTCTTTATCTTTTAACTCCACACCTCTTACCAAGACTCTCGCATTCACTTCTCTTACAACCCCATCTATAAATATACTGAACAACTACTGTGACATCACACATCCTTGTCTAAGGCCTACTTTTAGGGGAAATAATCTCCCTCTTTCCTACATTATCAAACTTGAGCCTCACTATCTTCGTAAAAACTCTTCACTGCTTTCAGTAACCTACCTCCTACACCATACACCTGCAACATCTGCCACATTGCACCCTTGTCCACCCTGTCATGTGCCTTTTCCAAATCCATAAATGCCATTAAAACCTCATGAGTCTTATCTAAATACTGTTCACCTATATGTTTCACAGTAAACACTTGGTCTACACACCCCCTACCTTTTCTAAAGCCTCCTTGTTCTTCTGCTATCCTACTCTCCGTCTTACTCTTAATTCTTTCAATAATAACTCTACCATTCACTTTACCAGGTATACTCAACAGACTTCTTCCCCTATAATTTTTGAACTCTTTTGTCCCTTTTTCCTTTATACAAAGGAGCTATGCACGTTCTCTGCCAATCCCTAGGTACCTTACCTTCTTCCATACATTTATTAAATAATAGCACCAACTACTCCAAAACTATATCCCCACCTGCTTTTAACATTTCTATCTTTATCCCATCTGCCTTACTCCCTTTCATTCTACCCACTGCCTCATGAACTTCCCCCACAATCACAACTGGCTCTTCCTAACTCCAAGATGTTATTCCTCCTTGCCCTACACAAGAAATCACAGCTTCCCTATCTTCATTAACATTTAACACTTCCTCAAAATATTCCCTCCATCTTCCCGATGCCTCTGACTCTCCATTTAATAATTCTCCTCTCCTATTTTTAACTGACAAATCCATTTGTTCCCTAGGCTTCCTCAGTGTTAATCTCACTCCTAAACTTTTTCTTATTTTCAACAAAATTTGTTGATAACATCTCACCCACTCTCATTTGCTCTCTTTTTACATTGCTTCACCACTCTCTTAACCTGTCTTTACATCATCATTCCACCAATCGCTCTTCTTCCCTCCCGCACCTACTTTCCTGTAACCTCAAATTTCTGCTGAACACTAACACTACATTCTTAAATATACCCCATACATCTTCGACCCTATTGCCTATACTCTCACTAGCCCATCTATCCTCCAATAGTTGTTTATATCTTACCCTAACTGCCTCCTCTTTTAGTTTATAAACCTTCACCTCTCTCTTATTTGATGCTTCTATTTTCCCTTGTATCCCATCTACCTTTTACTCTCACTGTAGCTACAACTAAAAAGTGATCTGATATATCTGTGGCCCCTCAATAAACATGTACATCCTGAAGTATACTCAACAGTCTTTTATCTGTCAATATGTAGTCCAACAAACTACTGTTATTTTGCCCTACATCATATCTTGTATACTTATTTATCCTCTCTTTCTTAACATGTGTGTTACCTATAACTAAACCCCTTTCTATACAAAGTTCAATCAGAGGGCTCCCATTATCATTTACACCTGGCACCCCAAACTTACCTACCACACCCTCTCTAAATGTTTCTCCTACTTTAACATTTACGTCCCCTACCACAATTACTCTTGTCGCTTGGTTCAAAGGTTCCTATACATTCGCTTAACCTACCCCCCCCCTCTCTCTCTTCTCTCTCTCTTTCTCTCTTTCTCTCTCTTTCTTTCTTTCTCTCTTTCTCTCTTTCTCTTTCTCTTTCTTTCTCTCTTTCTTTCTTTCTTTCTTTCTTTCTTTCTCTCTTTCTTTCTCTTTCTCTCTCTCTCTTTCTCTTTCTCTCTCTCTCTCTCTTTCTCTCTTTCTCTCTTTCTCTCTTTCTCTCTTTCTCTCTTTCTCTCTTTCCTTCCTTCCTTCCTTCCTCCAGGTGCATACATGCTTATTATGACCCACTTTTCGGATCCAACCCTTATTTTAATCCACATAATCCTTAAATTTACGTGTTTATATTCCCTCTTCTCCTTCCATAACTGATTCTTCAACATTATTGCTACCCCTTCATTAACTCTAAATCCCTAAGATACTCTTGACTTAATCCCATTTATTTCTCCCCACCGAAACTCCCCTACCCGCTTCAGCCTTGTTTGGCTTAGGGCCAGGACATCCAACTTCTTTTCATTCATAACATCAGCAATCATCTCTTTGTCATCCGCACTACATCCATGCACATTCAAGCATCCCAGATTTATAAATAAGAAGATTTACACTTACCTTGGAGGAAATGCTGGCATTGGTTTAGGGTGGTGGAAGATACGCAGGGTGGCACATGTTGTCACTGGCCCCTATGTACCTCCAACAACAAAGGAGTTTTGTGTCGTCCTTTTTCTATCGCTTAATCACTTAACTTACTTGCTACACTGTTATACTACACTTTATCGTTGGCTGGCACTATAGCCTTTATCGACTCCTGCTGCTTTAGAATTGTATGTATCGTAGAATCACTGAAGAAGGCACATTCTCCCTTCTCTCTCAGCCCTTTACCAAAGGGCTGGCACCAGGAACTTTCTTTGGGCCCATGGTGGCTCATTTCGCAGTCACCATCAAGAAATGAGCATAAATTGCGAAATGTTTTGGATGAATGATCACTCAACCAGTGACAAAGCCAGACTAACGGCATCCCTGGGCAGGCAGACATGTCTGATACGTATAATTTCTGGATTGAGGTGCGACATCCGGAACAAAATTTTGCCCAAAAAAGGGTTCTAAATCTGTAACGTCTGATATCCGGTATGTACGAAAACCGGAGTTCCACTGTACTTATTACAGAGTTTCTTACTTTGCATGGCCTCTCTTGAAATTCTTCCATGTCTATTACATGGCAGATTTCCACAATTACTAATTGTTTTTATTAAAATAAAATTGCAGGATTTTTCTTTTTTACATTATAAGCCACTTTTTTGACCAAAGTATGATAATAAATTTGTAGGAGTCATAGTTGTATTTTACACTAGACAGCAATGTTGGTGGTGCAGTACTGAATACCCTAGATACTAGTGTTGGTGGCACCGTATTGTGTACCCTAGACATCAGCGTTGGTGGCACCGTACTGTGTATCCCAGACACCAGTGTTGGTGGCACCGTACTGTGTACCCCAGACACCACTGTTGGTGGTGCAGTACCGTGTACCCCAGATACCACTGTTGGTGGTGCAGTACCGTGGACCCCAGACACCAGTGTTGGTGCAGTACCGTGTACCCCAGACACCACTGTTGGTGGTGCAGTACCGTGGACCCCAGACACAGTGTTGGTGGTGCAGTACCATGTACCTCAGACACCACTGTTGGTGGTGCAGTACCATGTACCCCAGACACCACTGTTGGTGGTGCAGTACCGTGTAGCCCAGACACCACTGTTGGTGGTGCAGTACTGTGTACCCCAGACACCACTGTTGGTGGTGCAGTACCGTGGACCCCAGACACAGTGTTGGTGGTGCAGTACCGTGGACCCCAGACACCAGTGTTGGTGGTGCAGTACCGTGTACCCCAGACACCACTGTTGGTGGCACCGTACTGTGTACCCCAGACACCACTGTTGGTGGTGCAGTACCATGTACCCCAGACACCACTGTTGGTGGTGCAGTACCGTGTACCCCAGATACCACTGTTGGTGGTGCAGTACCGTGGACCCCAGACACCAGTGTTGGTGGTGCAGTACCGTGTACCCCAGACACCACTGTTGGTGGTGCAGTACCGTGGACCCCAGACACAGTGTTGGTGGTGCAGTACCATGTACCTCAGACACCACTGTTGGTGGTGCAGTACCGTGTACCCCAGACACCACTGTTGGTGGTGCAGTACCGTGTAGCCCAGACACCACTGTTGGTGGTGCAGTACTGTGTACCCCAGACACCACTGTTGGTGGTGCAGTACCGTGGACCCCAGACACAGTGTTGGTGGTGCAGTACCGTGGACCCCAGACACCAGTGTTGGTGGTGCAGTACCGTGTACCCCAGACACCACTGTTGGTGGCACCGTACTGTGTACCCCAGACACCACTGTTGGTGGTGCAGTACCATGTACCCCAGACACCACTGTTGGTGGTGCAGTACCATGTACCCCAGATACCACTGTTGGTGGTGCAGTACCGTGGACCCCAGACACCAGTGTTGGTGGTGCAGTACCGTGTACCCCAGACACCACTGTTGGTGGTGCAGTACCGTGGACCCCAGACACAGTGTTGGTGGTGCAGTACCATGTACCTCAGACACCACTGTTGGTGGTGCAGTACCGTGTACCCCAGACACCACTGTTGGTGGTGCAGTACCGTGGACCCCAGACACCAGTGTGGTGGGCAGTGCCATGGACCCCAGACACCACTGTTGGTGGTGCAGTACCGTGTACCCCAGACACCACTGTTGGTGGTGCAGTACCATGTACCCCAGACACCACTGTTGGTGGTGCAGTACTGTGTACCCCAGACACCACTGTTGGTGGTGCAGTACCATGGACCCCAGACACCAGTGTTGGTGGTGCAGTGCCATGGACCCCAGACACCACTGTTGGTGGTGCAGTACCGTGTACCCCAGACACCACTGTTGGTGGTGCAGTACCGTGTACCCCAGACACCACTGTTGGTAGTGCAGTACCGTGGACCCCAGACACCAGTGTTGGTGGTGCAGTGCGTGGACCCCAGACACCAGTGTTGTTGGAAAGTACATTACATACGTAAATAAATTGTTGCATTGTATATTACCACTTTACCCTAACATGTAACACATCTAGTGATATTCATATTATTGCAGAACAGGGTTATCAATACCATTAAGAAGGTGGAGGAAGAAGAATTGGGGCCTCGAAAAAGAAAACGCAAAAGCAAAAAGGCATTGGAGGATGACGATTTTATAAATGACGGTGATGCATATGATAATGCCAGAAGCAAAACTGAGACACCGTCCTCTTCCAGCCACAAGGTTGTATTTAATATTAATTTTACCAATTATAAGAATGGCAGATATATAATGTACTGCATTATCTTTATAGCTGGTGAAGATAAAAAGATAATGCATTGAGAATAAGCACAAAATACAGAGATAAGACTAAGCTTAAATTTAAAAAATACATAGTGTTCAAGGTGATTGTAATCATATGCCTAGTATTTCTTTCTTGTTGCAAATAGTGTATATAATCATTGTACATGTAACAGAAGCATGTTTTGGTGATACTTTCACTTGTATGTGAACCTTGTATTTGCATATGGCTGATGACCTTGCAATTATATAAAGCCAATGATCTGCACTTAGTTGCAGTTGTGGGTTTTTGTAATTAACTTTTCAATATAAATTGTAGCTACAGGAGCAGAGCAAAGATCACATTGTCCCAACTTTTAATTTAGGATGTATTTTTTGTTAAAAATTTCCATTAATGTTTGTTTTTGATAGGGAACAGTAAACAATATTTCAGTGTGACCTGGACCATTATTAGGTTACAACAGTGAGATAATGGTGGTCATTGATTGAAATATCTTCCACTGTTTCCTCTTGAAAGTTTGGGTTATTAGTGAATTGTTCAGGTAATGGTAATGTGACTTTTCTCCTTCATTTGTTACTTTCTTCTGACTCGTTCTACTGTTCAATCACTGAAGGATTTGCTAGTATCCTCTCTGTACCTCATCTTTTAGTTTACAGGTATGGCCTCTTGTTCTTCCTGATTGTGTTAGAAAAGTTTTCTTATAAATTATTTTGTATCCTATCACCCTGTGTTTGATTTATCTGATGCCTTCATTCTTCAGTGTAACTATCATCATTCAGTTCTGGTTGCCAGTTCTTAGCTTGTCTCTTGACTCTACTTACCCCATGCTTCTCTTACTAAATTATTTAAACAGTGCTGAAAATCCAACCCTAATTATTTCATGTTCAAAATAAGCTGCATTTTTTGGAGCTGAAGGTACGCTCCAAATTATAATAGGGATGTTGAATCTAAGTTTTTGGGATTAAAAAGATAGTTCATGTCTGGTGATCTCAAGCCATCTCATGGTTGTAATATACAGAACCCCAGATCATTAGCTTTAGCCATATTGCCCTTTGTTACTTTGTTTTTTAGCTCTAGGGTGAGCCTACCTGAGATAAGGTAGGGTGGAACAGCTAGGTTATTCAGTGAATTTCTGGGGTTCACTGCTCCCATTGCAAAGTCCCTGACCAGGCCTCATGGTTAATAATGTGTCAAGTTGATGCTAGCTGCATGCAATACAGTTCATGTACTGCAGCCTGGCTGGTCAGGAACTAATTTTACAAAATTAACAGGTACTCTCTTGAAGACAGCTAAGGGTCTGCTGATAATAATTTTCTTTGTGTATGAAGGGAGTTGTTAAAAAATCTTGGGTTGGTTATACTTAGAGTTATCTTTTATCTCTCCCTACTTTTCATTTGGGGGTATGTTGCATTCTCTCTCAAGCCTCTTGCTCTTTTAGAGAGTAATTTTGATGTTCAGAATTGGGACCTGTCTTTCCAAATTTTTTCAGCTGTAAATTATGATATTCTCAGCTATTTTCCAGAAGTATAGTTCAAGGGACTTGAAGCATTCCCAGTAATTAAGGTGCATTTCTGATTTTTTTTTTTAACAAATTGGCTGTATTTCACCAAGGCAGGGTGGCCCAAAAAGAGAAACAAATGTTAATCTTTTTAAATCTAACAGCATATACAGGACAAACTCGTCACTAGCCCCTTGCTCCCGGCATGTTAGTCACCTCTTACGACATACATGGCTTATGGAGGAAGAATTCTGTTCCACTTCGTGGATATAAGAGGAAATAAAGAAGAACTAGTAAGAAAATAGAAAACCCAGTGGGGTGGGTGGGTGTGTGTGTGTGTACTCATCTCTTTGTACTCACCTGTTTGTGGTTGCAGGGGTCGAGTCATAGCTCCTGGCCCCGCCTCTTCACTGATTGCTACTAGGTCCTCTCTCTCCCTGCTCCATGAGCTTTATCATACCTCGCCTTAAAACTATGTATGGTTCCCGCCTCCACTACTTCACTTTCTAGGCTATTCCACGGCTTGACTACTCTATGACTGAAGAAATACTTCCTAACATCCCTTTGATTCATCTGAGTCTTCAACTTCCATTTGTGACCTCTTGTGTCTGTGTCCCATCTCTGGAACATCCCGTCGTTGTCCACCTCTTCTATTCCACGCAGTATTTTATATGTCGTTATCATGTCTCCCCTGACCCTCCTGGCCTCCAGTGTCATCAGGCCGATTTCCCTCAACCTTTCTTCGTAGGACAATCCCCGTAGCTCTGGGACTAGTCTTGTTGCAAACCTTTGCACTTTCTCTAATTTCTAGACGTGCTTGACTAGGTGTGCATTCCAAACTGGTGCTGCATACTCCAGTATGGGCCTGACGTAAATGGTATACAGAGTCTTGTGTGTGTGTGGGGGTGTGTGTGTGTGTGTGGTGGTGTGTGTGTGTGTTGTGTGGTGGTGTGTGTGTGTGTGTGTGTGTGGTGTGTGTGGTGGTGTGTGTGTGTGTGTGTGTGGTGTGTGTGTGTGTGTGTGTGTGGGGTGTGTGTGTGTGTGTGTGTGTGTGTGGGTGTGTGTGTGTGTGTGTGGGGGGGTGGTGTGGTGTGTGTGTGTGTGTGTGTGTGTGGGGTGTGTGTGGTGTGTGTGTGTGTGTGTGTGTGTGTGGGGTGTGTGTGGTGTGTGTGTGTGTGGGGTGTGTGTGTGTGGGTGTGTGTGTGTGGGGTGTGTGTGTGTGTGGGTGTGTGTGTGTGTGTGGGTGTGTGTGTGTGTGTGGTGTGTGGTGTGTGTGTGTGTGTGTGTGTGTGGTGGTGTGTGTGTGGGGTGGGGGTGGTGTGGTGTGTGGGGTGTGTGTGTGTGTGTGTGTGTGTGTGTGTGTACTCACCTAATTGTACTCACCTAATTGTGGTTGCAGGGGTCGAGACTCAGCTCCTGGCCCCGCCTCTTCACTGATCGCTACTAGGTCCTCTCTCTGCTTCCTGAGCTGTATCATACCTCTTCTTAAAACTATGTATGGTTCCTGCCTCCACTACTTCACTTGCTAGGCTATTCCACTTCCTGACAACTCTGACTGAAGAAATACTTCCTAACGTCCCTGTGACTCATCTGAGTCTTCAGCTTCCAGTTGTGACCCCTTGTCCCTGTGTTCCCTCTCTGGAACATCCTATCTCTGTCCACCTTGTCTATTCCCTGCAGTATCTTGTATGTCGTTATCATGTCTCCCCTGACCCTTCTGTCCTCCAGTGTCGTCAGTCCGATCTCCCTCAACCTTTCCTCGTACGACATTCCCCTGAGCTCTGGGACTAGCCTTGTTGCAAACCTTTGCACTTTCTCTAACTTCTTGACGTGCTTGACCAGGTGTGGGTTCCAGACTGGTGCTGCATACTCCAGTATGGGCCTAACATAAACAGTGTACAGTGTCTTGAACGATTCCTTATTAAGGTATCGGAGCGCTATTCTCAGGTTTGCCAGGCACCCGTATGCTGCAGCAGTTATTTGGTTGATGTGTGCCTCCGGTGATGTGCTTGGTGTTATGGTCACCCCAAGGTCTTTCTCCCTGAGTGAGGTCTGTAGTCTTTGTCCACCTAGCCTATACTCTGTCTGCAGTCTTCTTTGCCCCTCCCCAATCTTCTTGACTTTGCATTTGGCTGGGTTGAATTCGAGAAGCCAGTTACTGGACCACATGTCCAGCCTGTCCAGGTCTCTTTGCAGTCCTGCCTCATCCTCATCCGATTTAATTCTTCTCATCAACTTCACATCATCTGCGAATAGGGACACTTCAGAGTCTATTCCTTCCATCATGTCTTTCACATATATCAAAAATAGCACTGGTCCTAGAACTGACCCCTGTGGGACCCCGCTCGTCACAGGCGCCCACTGTGATACCTCTTCACGTACCATGACTCGTTGCTGCCTCCCTGTCAGGTATTCCCTGATTCATTGCAGTGCCCTCCCTGTTACATGCGCCTGATCCTCCAGCTTCTGCACTAATCTCTTGTGGGGAACTGTGTCAAAGGCCTTCCTGCAGTCTAGGAAAACGCAGTCTACCCACCCCTCTCTCTCGTGTCTTACTTCTGTTACCTTTTCATAAAACTCCAGGAGGTTTGTGATACAAGATTTGCCTTCCATGAACCCATGCTGGTTTTCATTTATAATCTTGTTCCTTTCCAGGTGTTCGACCACTCTCCTCCTGATAATCTTCTCCATGACTTTGCACACAATACATGTCAGAGACACAGGTCTGTAGTTTAGCGCCTCGTTTCTGTTTCCTTTCTTAAATATGGGGACTACATTAGCTGTCTTCCATTTCTCAGGTAGTTGCCCAGTTTCAAGGAATGTGTTGAAGATTGTGGTTAGAGGCACGCACAGCATCTCTGCTCCTTCTCTAAGGACCCATGGGGAGATGTTGTCCGGTCCCATTGCCTTTGAGGTGTCATGGTCACTTAGGAGCTTCTTCACCTCCTCCTCAGTTGTTTGTATGTCATCCAACACTTGTTGGTATATTCCCTCTTGATGTTCCCTTCTGTGCTGTCTTCCCAGAGCACTTCCTGTCTCTACTGTAAAAACTTCCTTAAATCTCCTGTTCAGCTCCTCACATACCTCCTGATCATTTCTTGTGAGTTCTCCACCTTCTGTCCTTAATCTGATCACTTGGTCTTTGACTGTTGTCTTCCTCCTGATGTGGCTATACAACAGTTTCGGGTCAGTCTTGATTCTCGATGCTATGTCATTTTCATACTGTCGCTGGGCCTCCCTCCTTACCTGTGCATACTCATTCCTGGCTCTGCAACTGATCTCCCTATTTTCGTGTGTTCTCTGCCTTCTGTACTTTTTCCATTCTCTATTGCACTTTGTTTTTGCTCCTTACACCGTCGGGTAAACCAGGGGCTCGTTCTGGTCTTCCCGTTGTTACTGTTGCCCTTGGGAATAAACCTTTCCACTGCCTCCTTGCATTTTGTT